AGGCTCTGGGCTGACGTAGAGGGGCTTCTGCTGGTGGTTGACACCGTTTGGTGCGTAAAGGAAGCGCTTACAAAGGTTGCCATTGGCAGCGGTCTTCCATTCTCCACAGCTCAGCGGCTGAAGAGGCAGAGCGCCTGTGCAAGCACTCGGCCTCCTCCCTCCCCTGCCTGCCTCCTCCTCCTCCTTTCCCCTCCCTATTGGATACACACCCGGTTTGAAAACACCAGACAGAGCAGGATGTTCTCTGAAATACCGTCTCGGGATTAAAAGGCAGGAGAGTGAGGAAAAGGACTGCGGGGCGACAACGGTTCGGGAGTCATTCTTTCTAATCTACTGTACATCTTTCGCTGTGGCAGAGGACAAGGGAACACAAAAGGTCCGCGCTCAGTGAGGGCCCTCTCTCTGCTTTTTGTTTCCCATCCACCCACACAAGTTCCTTCTTGGAAAGGTGCCATTAAAGACACCGTTTTTCACTGAGTTTAGAACTGGGCCGAAGGATCAATTGTTTACTAAGTACTTTGAAGGGACTTTTTTTAAAGACAGAAGTTTTCACAGAGACTTAATATTCACAGAAAGGGAGAAATTTAAGTGTCACCAGGGGTAAAACAAAACAAACATGAAAAAAGCCTGAGAAGTTTTGCTTCAAAGAGGCAGAAAGCATCAATGCTTGCCTGTGCCTGTTTTCTAACTTCTGGTATTCTTGTCAAGAAGTTAGAATTAACTCACATTTATTAGCAAGTTAGCTGTAGGAGATGACCAGGCTGAGCCCGAGGGAGGCTCAAACCATCATCAGTCTCCAGCCCCTAGTCCCTTGTGCCTACAAGAGATCTAAGTCCAGCCCACCTTGAATTCTGTTGACTTATCTACTGCCAATTTACTTTGACCCTTAGTTCAGATTCTTGTACAATAAACCTATATTCTTTTGAACTGCCTGGACTCCTGATTTCCTGAGCTTGACATTAGCATTACCGGATTCACAAATTCTAAATAATTAGTATTACTTCACTCACACTGCCAGATACCATTCTAGTCTTTATCTAATTAGATTGCCATTTTCTTTCTTAAAAAGCTATATCTCTAGGTTAGCTCTTCTAACTTAAAGTCCCCATTTTGATAAGAATGAAAGTTAGGACCCAGAAGAAGTTGATCAAAATGTAAGCCTGCACTGAAATCTAGCTAGACATTTTTGTAGACAGCTAAGTTCTGGTGTGCAGCTACCACCCAATTAAAAAACCCTCCCCTTTTATTGGAAGTTTGTAGTCTATGCTCAGGTCCTCAGGTCACTTTCATTAAGGAACAGAAGAATAAAGAAAATATCACTTTTGACGACTATATATTTGATCTTTTTCTTTTTGTACACGTTTTTTTATTATTATTATTAGTGTCTGGTGGTTGTTAGTTTCTCTTTTTTTGCTTTTCTTTTTTCTTTTAACTTTGGAAATAAAATTAAAAATTTGTAAAAAAAAAAAAAAAAAAAGATCACCTGGTGCAGGGAGTATGCCAAGCACAGACTGCAGATTGCAAGCTAGGCCTTCCCTTTTCATTATTTGCAATAGCTTAATAACCACAATTTGGAAGCACATTCAGTGGATAATATAGCTACTAACCAGATTAGTGAAGTTAGCAGTGTTGTTTACATTACAGCTTAAACAAAAGAACATAGGTATACACAGATTTCATGTTCCCTGCTACAAAAACATGGTCATTGCTGGTCGCCTTTGAAAATAAAAATTACCCTTCTTCCTTACACCAACCAACCAACCGTAAGAAGAAATGGTTGGAACAGTTTTTTTCTTGACCCGATTTCTGGTATCCATCTGTTCTCTATACACTCGCTCGCTCCCTCGCTCTCGCTCTCTTCCTCTCTGACTGCTTCTTCCTTCACCCCCCTCCCTTCTACTTTTCCACCATTGTTCCAAGGAACTTTTCCCCTTTGTCAGGCTGCCTCTGCCCGAGAGTTTTGTGTTCTGAAGCCAACACAACCGCCGCCACCGCCACCACCACCCCACCCTCAGCTTGCCAGGGAGCAGAAGGGGGCGAGAGAGAGAAAAAGGGGGGTCCTCTCTTGCTGAAATGCAGCTACCAAAGTTTCCAACTCGATTCTCCAACACGCGACCGAGTTCCCTCCAAGCTTTCACCTCTCGGGCCTTTTCTAAGACCTGATCCTCCCCCTCCCCTCGACTTCGCCCCCGCAGACGCCTTTGTTGCTGGGCTGTTCTCGGTATTCCGATCGGAGCAAAGCCGTTTATTGCGTTTGTCGGATGGTTAGACACTCCAAGAGTTTGCCCGAAAACCGTTACATTCCGGAATCATTGTTAGGATTTCTTGCTCGCTCGCTCGCTCTCTTTTGTGTGTGAGAACTATACGTCTCAGCATAGTTATGGTCTCAAGGGGAATTCTGCTTAGGGTCTGGAGTCAATTGATTTGTGTCGAAGGCTTCTTTGTTAGTGGAACGAGAGGCTCCCCAAACTAATAAACCTGCTGGCTTGCCTATAAAATAAAACGTCGATAAACTAAAACGAAAACGTGCTTATTCGTAGGAAATCTGCTCAGAAAGAGCGATTTTCGTGCTAGGCGAAGATGGAAGAAAAAAAAGTAAAAGAAAGATTATTCCCTGCCACACCTGAAGCTTGGCCAAACAGCTGTTTTAACAGAGCAATAAAAAACGAATTATGACTAGCCACCTCCAAACTTAATGGTTTTAGATGGGGATCCCCTACCCCAGGAAATACATAAAAGGATTTTTATTTGTGCATGTGTTCCTGCAATTGATCTCTTTGATGACATTCTCATTGACAGAAAACATTTGATTTATGAGTTTAGGAAGAATTGCACCCAGCCCTTCCAGCTGTTACCCACACAGTTCTATCCCACCCCACTTAGGTGGGTTGCAAAATAGGGAAGCAATCTGTCACCAAAATAAATACACCAGGAGCAGAAGGACTAGCAAATGCGTGCCTGTAAAGCCTGAAGCATTTTTTCCCTCTGTAAATTCTTACAAAGAGAAAGGGAGAGAGATATTGGTACATACACACCCAGAAAACAAACCACATCTATCACAGGCTGCTAGTTTGTAGAACAAAAGAACACATACCAACCTTTAACTTGGGCTAAGGGCACATGGACACACACACACCACCTTCAATTAACAGCACTTTTAGATGGGCCTCATTTTTTGGTGTGTTTTGGTGGGATGGCTAAAATGTTTTCTGAAATGTACACTTGTTAACCTAGTTCAGAACGAGCTTTGGTGAGAATGCCTTTTTCTCCACCTTCAGCATGAGCTTTTGTTCTTCAAGCCTAATTTTTAACCTATAATTTATATGACTTGCACAATTAATAACTAGCTTTTACCAAATGGCTTGTTTGATTTCCTCTCTTTTAGACTTCTTTTCTTGGGACCTTTGGACTATTGGGAAAACCATCAGAAATGTATCTTTGTTGGAGGAAACTCACCTTAGCTACTTCTTATAAGGAAAATCTCTACAAGATGTTTTAGAGATGGCATTTCCCACCCACAAGGTTAGCCAAAATGGGCCCAAATCTCTCACCCATATGTTGGAAATGCAAATTAGCAATAGGGACCTATTACCATATGTGGTGGGAATGTCCTAAAGCCTGTGATTATTGGAATAGGATAAGAAAATGGTTGGAAGAAATATTAATGTTGGAGATAGAGCTAAAACCTGAACTTTTTTTATTGGGCATAACCATAGAGAAATATGACAAGGGGATAATCTATTTGATGTTGCACATCTTGACTGCCGCTAGACTGGCGTTTGCACAAAAATGGAAGAACAAAGAAACTCCCACAGAGGAAGAGTTACTATATAAAATACTATCTTGCGCTGAAATGGGCAGGCTTACGATGGAACTGAAGGATAAGAGTGGATCAGAATACTTTGAAATCTGGGACAAATTTTACTATTGGTGGGAATCGAGGAGGACTGTTGGGGTTACAGATTAGTGTTAAGATAGAAATGTATATAATCTTAGGCTAGCAAATAGAGAACTGAATTAAGTATTGTATAAATAACACATATGTATTTATAGAGATAAAGAACTAAATGTAAGAAGAGAAATAATTTGATAGAAATGTTTATACTGGAATGTTATGTCATGTCCAATGTTTTCTTTTTTAACTGTATTATAAATAAAAAACTTGGAAAAAAAGAAAAAAAAAATGTATCTTTGTTGGTTCCCTGCACCAACATTCCCTTCCAAGATATGGTTCCCAAAAAATAAACACAGTGACTACTACATATACATTTTGATCTGTTTGCATAAATGTAGCATCCCACTAGGAGCATTTGCTTTTTCCTTTTGCAAAATGTTCTTTCATATATACATATGTGTGAGACAAACACAATATTTTTAATAGCACCAAAGCAGTGTTTCCATATTTTTAATTCTAATATGTGATAAGTATTAAATGGGGAAAGTTTGTTTTTAATAAGCAGCAAAGATTTTCTAAGTTGTTGGGAAGGATTGTAACACTGCATTTTGGGGGATGGGGAGGAAAGGAAGGTAAACAATTTCAGTAGCTTCTTCCAATAAATGTCTTCCTCACGAAAAAGGACAGAGGTTTGTGACCAAATTGTTTGGCATGGTTTCAGACCAAAAGAGGGAAAGGGGTAACTCCTTGTGCTATTCATGAAGAGAAAAATAAAAAGGTGCTTGTAGTAAACAATTTATTCTACCAAAAATACTTATGACAACGCATCCTAATGTAATACAAAAATAAAAAAGTGAAGATACAAATTCGATATGATCACTTTCTTACAGGCCATATATGTTGCTTTCATAGAAGGACCTAAAATGTGTATAACTGAACATAACTTAGTTCTCCAATGCAAAGTAGTTCTCCAACACAACAGATGGGGCAACCGAAAATGCTGAGAAACGGAAAAAAATCAAACAAAGGTGGAGGGGAAAATAAAAAATAAGGAGAGAGAAGGAAAAGAAGGTATAACCCTTGGCACATGAAGGTCTGTGCTTTCTCAATAATTCAGGTGCTGCAAGTCAATTGTGGTGAGCGTATCTGTGAAAAAGTCTAAGTTGTCAGTTGAAATATCTACAGGACTGCCAAGGGATGGTGGCAAACTGGGGGAGACGTCAGAAAGCTGTAGGCAGGAATCTGCGGAGAAAACGCTGAAGTCCTGCAAAGAAGAGGCTTCCAGGGCCTCCGGACTGCCATTGTTCACGGCAGCTGCACAGTTCTGGCCCATTGTTGAGGGGCAATTGGGAACAGTGGGTGACTGGCGCTGAAAATGTTTGAGATTTTTCTCATTGCTGGTTAAAGTCAAAACTGGAAAAGTTTGGGAGTCTCCATTGTGGAGGCTTGGAGGAGCCTGTGGCTGATCCAGGGCATTCTGTTGAAAAGGGTGCCTTTCCCTGTCCAAAAGAGCCCCTGAGACTTCGTTGAGGGCTTGCTCAAAAAGAGATTTCTCCTCTTCGGCTTTCTCGGGGTCCCCTAAACCTTTGCATTTCCCTTCGCTATTCTGATTCTCCTTGCACTGGGTCTGCCTCTTGTGCTTCATCCGCCTGTTTTGAAACCAGACTTTGATTTGCCTCTCCGTCAGATCTAGGAGAGCAGCGATCTCCACCCTCCTTGGTCTACACAGGTACTTGTTGAAATGAAATTCCTTCTCCAGTTCCAAAAGCTGTGTGTTGGTATAAGCAGTCCTTAGCCTCCTGGAGCTCCCATTAGCATTTTCAGAGATCTCCAGAGATTCTGTTGACGAACAACCACAGTTAGAAGAGACGCATGCCATGGAAATATTGCCCCTAGTTGGACCTTTTGAGGACACACGACCCTGTTGAGAACAGAGTGGTACTGGTTGTGGGAAATCTCTGCCGCTTGCTCTCCTCTCCAAAGCATAAAAACACCCCAACTACAACAAAATGGCCGCCCCGCGAATACAGCAAAGCCATTGTGTTGCCCCCTTGCGCGCCCGCTCTCCAGGGCCCCGTTTTCCCTCAGCTCGAGGAACTGCTTCGTCTCCATTTCCCCTAGCCGATCAAACTTTGGTATTAGTCATACCACAAATTATAATTAATGCATCAGCTGCTTAGTTGAGCAAGCGTAATCTATCACTCTTCATTACTGTCAAGGACCCCAACTCTAGGACAGCGAGACAAGAGGAGGCCACCTCCAACTGAAATAAATCACCACACCCTAAACAAGTTAGGGGGAAAGAAACTTTGCTTGGGGTGGGGGTGAAGGAGGGTTGGTGTCTGATGCTTTTGCCTGTGGATCCCACCGCCAGCTTCCTTCCTCAGGGTTCAGTGCCTGAGTTAGGAAGGCAACGCCCCAACAGGGAGGCGAAGGCAGTGGGGAGGGTGGGGGAGAACAAACAAATCGGGGGAAAGCCTTGGGAAGCGTAATGGTGCAGCAAAGTCTTTCAACTGACCTTTGTGGCTCAGGCAAGCTGGTCCAGGGACGGAGGCCGAGGCAAGCGGCGGCAGGGCGGTTTTCTTGGACGCCTTTTTCTCTTTCATCCAGGGGTACTCCGGAGGCTGGAGGGCGCCGGCTGGCACTGGGCTGCCGCTGTTGCCATTGGGGCTGTGCTTGGGGCGGCTACCCGGTTTCAGGCTGGGGATGGTCTGCTCAGAAGGAGGAGGAGGAATCAGTGTCGAGTATGAAAGCGTCGAATTCTTGATTGATGAACTTTGAAATGTATCAGCGACAGGGGGAAAAGATGTCAGGCACTCAGCGAGCGATGGCTGACTATTGATAAAGCCAATCTCTCGCTCAATTTCGAAATTCATGGCCTTCAAATCGCACCCTTGGAGAAAAAGTTCCCTCTTATTTAGCGCTTGGGGGAGGGGGAGCAAGGCCCAGGAAGGGGAAGGGCGGGGATCGTGAGAGACAGAGAGGGGGTGAGACAGGAAGAAAGGATAAAAAATATAGACGATCGCGCGTGGGATTTTTTTTTTCTAATTCACTGATTGCAGCCGTATGGGGACCGTGCTATTAAACCATTGAATTCATGGAGACAAGGTTGAAATTGGACCGAATTGGCTGTCACATGATTGCCTCTGCCCAATGACAATTTGGGCTTTAATCAAAAGAAGCCACTGTCTGATTGATCCAAAAAAAGTCGAGAAAGAAAGCCTCATTGGGGCCAAAGAGGCATTATTTATACTTTTTTTGGGAGGAGGCTTTATCTCCGCTGCTCGTCCGCTCCCCTTTTGCCTCCTAATCTGAAATGTTATCTGAGGTGAGTGACTGCTTGTGTCTGTGTCTGTGTCTCTTGCTGTCGCCGCTTGGTCGTTCGTTCATACCGCTGCTGCTGCTCCTGCAGCCGCCGCGGCTCTGTTCGCCCTGTAGGGCTTCTGCCCCGCTTGTCCCCCTCCCGTTTTATTGTTTGGCACTGTCAGGCAAGCGCTTCGCACCTCACAAATCATTTAAGCACCTCCAATCTGACGCCTTGAGTCATTAACAAAGTAATCCATTAATCTTCAAAGTTTTGGCATTGCCGGCTCGGCGTCTCAACCGCAACAGAAAGTTGCACTTGGCCCACCACCAATCCTAAGGAAAGAAATAATTACTTCCTAAAATTAAAACGAGCACCAGAACGAGGTGCGAGTTCCCACCCCTCCTCAAGACCTGGCATCTTTCGGCATTTCTCCGGCGGGATGGTGGTCCACTTTTCTGAACGGTATAGTACAGAGAACAATTGTCAGCCGATCTTGGCATATATACATTGTGTGGAAGGAATTTATTCAGGAGCTTCGTTTCCATGGACAGAAGTCAGACCAGCGAGGTCATGGATGTGTCTTGAGTTGGCTGGACAGAAGTAGATGGTAAAATCAGATGTATATCCAAACGGCACTCAAACCGTAGACATAGGTTTCACAAAAAAGTGGTGGATCACAAGAACAATCCAGAATATTAACATAAACCACACTGGAACCAGCTGTCTCGTTGTTTTCCCCCTTAACTTCAATAAAAATGGGTGAGTCTTGATGCCAAGGAAATACGTCAAAATTCAATAACAGAGTTTTAAAAATTATTAACCATGTAAACCCACCAAAGAGCTGGAAAGACCGTAAAACTGACCGCCTGACAAAATAAGATTGTTTGAAGACACCGTCTTTTGGTTTGCTTTTCTTTCAATTTGCTCATTCAACAATGTTGCAGGTTTGGACAGAACAGTTCTTCAGTCGCCTCAAGGTAAAACGGAAAACAAAAGGAGGGGGGAGAACAATGGAAGGAACAGGAGGATTCAGTAAAAAGGGGAAGAAAATGGTATTTCCTTTCTTCCAAAGCAAAGGTGCTATGTAGGAAGGGAAGGGAAGAAAATGTTGTGAGGCATTCCTATATATTTCAAGGATGCCCGAATATATTCCATGCTACTTTGAGTACTTTTGAGATTCTGAGTTAATCCTGGAAATTGTTCACAAGCGGTTCAAATGATAAACTGGTTGCTCCATCTTCTCATGAAGCACATCTGAGCAAAACAAAAAGGAACAACAGACTCTTTTCGTTTTGAGCGAATCAATCCCCACAATATGGAAGGAGAGCTGGTGAGTGGGAGGGGTGGGATATTGTAATAATCTTAACATAAAATTCAAATTGGAAATTGTTATTTAAGAAGAGGGAGAAAGAGGGAGCCTTAGAAATATACATGTTGGAGGGGGGGCTGATTTAATTTTCTTGCTTTACTTCAAACAAAGCTCTGCTGAAGTGTAGGCGCTATCAATCTTCTCTGCCAAAATGCTTTGACAGCTTCTGGCCCTTAAGAACACATGTCGAGCTTCTTGCTCTTTCCGAGGTGAAATGTGGCAGAGAAAAAAAGAAGAAAGGTTGGGGGGGGGGGGAGAGAGAGAAACTCCAGTAAATAAGCAAAAGGGATGCTGCTGCTTATTTTCCCAAATGGATCCCACCTTACCCCACCCCCTCAATGAAGGATAGAAATTTCAGCTCTTTAACTTGCCTCAGAGACAGCTACAGGCCTAAGGATTTTATTTCATTTCTTATTTATGAATATTGATAACAGGAAAAGTGTTGCTGGTGTGTGTGCATGCTTCATGTTACATGTAAAAGAACCCCACAAGGAGGTAAGGTGAGCAAGGGAGGTGGCTGGGTCAATTGGCTTTGTGAGTTAAATTGGTGTGGGAAGGATTTGGGAAGGGTTTTTTTGTTTTTTCTGTGGGAAGAATTGTGGGTTTTTGTTGTTCTTTTGGTGGGCAACCTAATAGAAAAACCACTTGGAACAAAGAGCTTTTCTCCTTAGTTTTTTTTTAAAGTAGCTTTTTTCCTTATTTCTGTGTTTTCTATCAGAACACACGTTTTCTGTAAGAAGGCATGTAGATAAAATATATGCAGCATGAAGGGAAGGGATAAATGCCTTTGAAATCAGATGGGAAAAAGGAAAAAAAAAACACTTCCTTTCTCTTATATACCTTCTTAAGGGTCGTTTTTTCTGTCCTAGTTCCAACCAGGGGTTACTCTCTCTTCTTCTCTTGCTGTCACTCCTTGAATGCCTTAATTTCATATAATACATTCTTTCTTTGATTAAATTTGAAGAGAAAAATAACACTCAAAATCCTTTTTCTATATCTTTTTCTAAAAGCTACATTCTGGAGCTTCGAACTGATTCCTCTGTCTCATAACTCTCTTTTAAATAGTTTTTTCAATAGATGTAGTGATTCCTCTTCAGTCTGGAGTCAAAGCTGTAAGTATACGTGGAAAATGGTTAAGGGAAGATAAAATGCTGTAAGTATGGAATGCAAAATTAGAATGCACTGGCCACTGGAAGCTTTTCAGATATGGAGGGGAGGAAAGGTATGTTGAGAAGAAAAAGACCAGAGAGATTCCTGGGTGAAAAAATGAAGAGGATTGATAATATTTTAGAAAGGGAAACCAATATGATGGCAAATTTATTGAGATTAAACAGACTAGCTACATCATAAAGTGGCATACCCTATCTTATCCATATTAAGGCAGACTTGCATGTACATATTGAGGTCTTCGTAAACAAATTCGAGACAGAGGATAAACCCCATGTCTTTACATGTTTTCTCTGGAAATAAAGGGGGGAGGGTTCAGTCTATGGATTCGCCATGTTTGTTAGCACAGATGTATTTGACGGACAGAAATTACCTTGTAGGGCTGCATCAAACACTGTTTTAGAAAATGTGTGTACGCCTGTGTTTATGCGTGGGTGGTCATATACATATATAGATGATTTTTTTTTTCTATTTCCCCTTCTGTCTCTGATCTAGAAAGACTGGGATGTGAAAGGAAATTAGATAACAAGATGTGCGGAATATCAATTCTACAATTGCCATAGCCAGAGAGGAGAAGCAGTCTAGTTCGTGGGAGAGACTGTAAGGAACAGCTTTTTCATAGCTGCCCAGGTCGACTCGCGAACAGATTTATTGTTGCTTAATCCGTTTCTTCATTACTGGGATGATAAATTGTATCTGCCTGTAAACAAATGTGCTTTAAATCCGTGCCGTAGCAAATATGAGCCCATGCGCTCGTTTTAAGTCGGCGGACTCTTACTCAATTGCGTCTCTTTAGAAAAACAACACAACTTGCCCATCAGTTTCTCGATTGTCCATTTTGTTCCCAGGGGGAAAGTGTGGGGGTAGAAAGCCTCCGATCGTTTCAAAGGGCTCCCCTCGCGCAGAGGCGAGAAGGAACTGCGGGCTTCCTAAGAAGCAGCTCCCAACAGAAGAGAACAGCCTGCAGCCGGGCAGCCTACGGCCTCCAGAGAAAAGTTACAGCACCTGAGCTTCGTTCGAGGAAGAGGCTCCTCCAGAAACAGCCTTTGTTTCTCAACCAGCTCGCCCGTCTTGGACCCGAATCCACCACTCTGCAGAGGAGAACAGCCGTGGCGAAGCCAAGAAACCGAGACCACATAGGACAAAAAACATCTGCAGAGAGAGATGCCAACAATCAGCCACAGTCACAAACCGGAATCTTTTCCAGCTTGGAGCAGTTTAGCGCTCTTCGTGTGCGACTTATCTTTGGGGAGGTCGCTAGGAAAGCGCTGACTCAGGAAAATATTCACAGAATCTGTCTGCGTCTAGAATCAAACGCGAGCGACAGGAACGCTTGTTCGACTAGCCTTGAAGGTGCTTGAAGAGGCTTTGTTAGGTTTTAAGGGAGCAGACGATCGCGCGTACCTTCTGGAAATAGTTACTTAAGTTTTGGCAGCTATAAAAGTCTAGTCAGAAGAAGGGGGGGATTAAAAAGGTTGGCTACTGGGAATTTGTGTATTTAAAACTCAAGGGGTCAACTGTTCCCCACGTTCTCTTTCTTCTTTTTTATTTGGGGGTGGGGGATGGCAATCAAATGATCTTATCTGAAATCTCTATTATTCAGAATAATTTTTTATTTATTTTTAAGAAAGAGCAGCAAGGAATGTATCATTTTCAAAACAAATCTATGATTCTTTGTTGTCAAACTCGGGTTTACCGGTTTTCTACTTATATTAGTCTACAGACATCAATTTCCTTTCCTACCCTGACGGTTGTTTTGCAGATTTTATTGCATTTTTCTTTTCTTTTTTTAAATAAAAGAATTCTGGTTCCATTTTCAAATGATATTCTCTTTGTATGCCATTGAACATATAGCCAGGTCAAGAGCTTCTGAATACTCAAGGTACAGAAGTTTATTTTTATATCTTTATAAATATGAACAAATGGGAATAAATAAACACTTAGATTATTCAAAGTTTGCAAAAAATATAAATCTGAAAGTTCAACAGCATACACAAGTTAAAGATTTACACATATTAATCATTTTGTTCAGG